GTCAACCATCATAAAAAACTGAAATTCGTTTGTGATTTCTGTTGACGTCTTGTTATCAACAAACCAGAAATTCACAGAGGAATCTGACTTTAACACTTCGAATGCCTGCATGGCGAACTGACGAGTACATTCCCACATGTCAGTTTAGTGAGGGATCATCGTTGTTCTGTTATTTCTGCCGGAATACATGCGAATAGAAACTGTAATATATGCGTAATTAGGTTAAAAAAAAAGATTACGAGATTATACTAGCTAGGAAGCATTTGACTTACTTCTGTTATCAGAGAGTGGAAATCGGATAACGAGTGGCTTTTCATCAGTTGTATCAATCCTATCGAGACGAGTAGCCATCCTTTGAAGCTGACCATTGAGGATAAACTTGATCTGGCTTTGCCTGACATCCATGAGTATATCAAACTGCTGTTTAAGATGATGCGCGAGGCGGGACATAAATTCAGGTGGAACGTTGACGTCCTCAGGGGATGGGTCGTTCCAAGACGAATCCACAAACTTAATCCTTGCGCTTCCGTCATGTCTCGGAAAAAAGTGACACAGACTTGTGAGAACGTCAATTTATTTTCGCAAACACATGAAAAAATTCACGTGATAATGTTCGGATCGAGACATATAACACATTTTAGATAGGAACAAGTATTCGCTTTTCGTTCTAGACAGTTCAGAAGAATGTGAAAAGGAGCTTGGTCGAGATAATTTGTTGATACACCATATCAACCAAATCCATATCATCAGACAAAGCAAGAGTTATATTTAGTTACGCGATAAAATATTGAAAGAAGGACCAGAAAGACCTACAAAATACAATTTATATATAGGGTTAAGGGTATATGAAAAATAGGTATAATGGTTCTACTGAGTATGAAGAAGCAATACGTTTCTTGGATAAAGGTTGCAATTGTGGTTGCTCGAAAATGATTCCGAGAGAAAAGTTTGCCGAATTACGTGAAGCGTTTCAAGCTCTCTCTAGACCCGAGCAAGATATATTTTTAATGGCTCAGCTGAAAGCAATGAATGGTGGCGAAATAACTGCCAGGCGGCGTCTTAAAAGGAAAACGCGCTCTAATAAGAGAACTTTTTATTATTGAGATCGTAATACTCCACTTTGTCAGAAAACGTATCTCAGTATGTTAGGAATTGGTCGCACGCACTTCGAAAACGTTAGAAATCACCTAGCAACAAATGGTATAATACCGCGCGTTCATGGTAATGTAAAAAGAGTGCCGCGATGGAAAACTAAAATATAACCGTTGCTACCGCGGTGAAAAATTTTCTTGAAAACTATGCTGAAATTCATGGACTACCAAGTCCTGGTAGAAATGTCAATCGAATTACGCAATCGCTTACACTTTTACCAGCCGAAACGAGTTATAAATCGGTCTATCGCAATTTTATTGCTGGTCTCGAAAATGATAGCATACTCAAATTGTTAAAATATGATGCGTTTCGCAAGTTATGGCACAAATTAACGCCTTATATTCAAATCATGAGTCCAAGAACGGATTTATGTGACACGTGCCAACATTTTCGAAACGGCTTACAATACAATGCTCGCAAGGAGTAAGAAGCGAAAGATTTAGTAAAAAATTCAAAGAACATTTAGTTAAGGCCAAATAGAGAGAATTATTACAACAAAAATACGAATTAGCAGAACAACAAAGGAAATTGGTAGATGACAATTACGTTGTAACAGGAGGTAAAGTTGATGATTGCAGCGTTGACGCGACTGCTCATTACGGCTACGATTGAGCGCAAAATGTTCACGTGCCCATTCCGATCAACAGGTAAGATTTACTATCGCAGTCCACGTAAAGTGCATTTATTTGGTATACAGGATGCGAACAAATTGATTACGTTCTCAATAAAAACAAAATTATCGGCAAGGGACCTAATGGCACACTAAGCCTGATTTTCGATGGGATTGAATAAAGGCGAAAGATTACTTGTGACAAAGCAGGTGAACAAAATAAAAATAACCCACCATTTGATTTTACTTATATTTAATAATTGCCGTTACTATGAAATTAAATTTATGGTACCTGGACATACTAAATTCAAGCGTGATGGTGGTTTCGGACAGATTAAAAAGCTTTATCGAAAAACAACGGTATACACGTATCGTGTACATTATCTTGTGAAAAGATCGAGTGCAGCGGGATTAAACAAAGCTTAGGCTACGAAAATGGCAAAGGCTGGTGATGTAATTGTTGACCCTGCTGCTGGTGGTAATTCAGTTTTGGAAGCTCGTTTATTAGTCAAAAGAGATTTTTACGGATAATAATGGATCAAAAGAAACTAAAAATTGACTCAATATTTAGATTTTAATTCCGTGTTGAGAATTTTTTTAAAAAAATTGAATGGTTTACAAAATTCGTTCGTTATAAAATGTTTGTATAGTGAATTTGCGGTATCGTATATAAGAAATGCCGATGTAAGAAAGTTACATTTGACAAGAGAATTACAGTCAAAGCTCGGAAAACCGATAGCAGTGTTTTCGCCTTTTTCTATCGGTTTTGCGAAATATCGGTTTTGCGAA